AGTTTATGGCCGAGCCCAAAACAGTGCACAAGTAAGCTTAAAATACTATGCAAGAAATAGGCCTAAAAGAAGGTTTAAACACAAAGTGTAAAAAGGGAGTCTCAAAAAGCAAAAGACCCTTGATCAAATATGAAGAGGGAGTCAAAATATGACTATTTTCAGTTTGGGTCGGAGCCCAAAAATACAATCACAAGGGGCTAACAAAACATGCAAAAATAAGGCCAAAAGAGGGATAAAGAGGCAAGTGACAAAAGGAAGCCTCAAACAGTGAAGAGCCCTTCAACAATTTTGAAGAAAGGCTCAAAATAAGTCACTTTTCAGTTTATAACCAAGCTCAAAACAATTTACAAATAAGCCTAAAATACTATGCAAGAAAGAGGCATACAAGAGATGTAAAGAAGCAAGTGTAAAAAGGAAGCCTCAAACAGGGAGAGGCCCTTAAACAAACATGAAAAGGAGCTCAAAATAATACTATTTTCAGTTAGGGTGGAAGCCCAAATATGCAAGCAAGAGGAGCGAATATATTGAGCAAAAATAGGGCCAAAGAGAGGGATAGAAGACTTACCCTTGAAAACCAATGCTTCAACAACTCTTGGCTTAAGAAAAGGTGCTCCTTGCCTCTGGAAAACCAGCTCCAAGTGTTGGAAAGGATGGTGGAGAGGTGGTGCTATGTGGTGGTGTAGAAAGGGGCCAAAAAAACAAAAGGGTTTTGATGCTTGGAATATAGAGAGAGAGAAATTAAATGTAGGAGGCTTAAAAAAAAAAATTTTTCTAACCCAAAATGCAGCTGGAGCTGCTGGTTTTATAAAGGGAGGAATGGAGGAAAAGGGGGGGAAAATGGGGGGGAAAATCAATTCAAATTTCCCCCAAAAAATAGGCCTAAAAGAGAGATAAAAAGGCAAGTGGTAGCTGCTGGCCTCAAACCGAAGAGAGCCCTTCAACAAAGTTGAAGAGGGGCTCAAAAAAAGACACTTTACAGTTTACATCAAGCCACAAAACAGCTCACAAATAAGCCTAAAATACCATGCAAAAATAGGCCTAAAAGAGAGTTAAAGAGGCAAGTGATAGTAGGAGACCTCAAACAGCAAAAGGTCCTTAATCAAATATGAAAAGGATCTCAAAATATGACTATTTACAGTTTGGGTCGAAGCCCAAAAATGTTTGCAAGCAAGGCTTAGATATAGAGCAAGATAGGAACAAAAAAGAGGGAAAAGAAGCTTACCCTTGAAGACCAATGGACCAGCAGCTCTTGGTCTGAGAAATGGTGCTCCTAAGCTCTGAAAAACAGCTCCAAGTTGTTGGAATGGATGGTGGTGGGGTGTATACCAAAAACCGGGGCAAACGGAGGTGGTTAAGCGGTCCCGAACCGAGGCACACGGCCGTCGACTCCGAAAAACCGGAAACCGGGCTCCAAACGGGAAAAATGGCCTACGACCACGAAACGTAGCCTACGGCCACTAAGAGATGATCTACGAGACCTCTTCCTCCCTTCGGGAAGAGAAAACAGAGAAAATGGAGCCTGGTTCGCAAACCGAGACAAGACACGAAAGAGTCCAGAAGTCCGGAGGCAAGGCTCGCAGCAGAGACTCTGAAACTTCTGAACGAGCACAATATGCACCATCACAGAGCGCTCAATCGATGACGTCTGAGTCTTAAGGTCGGTCAAAAATGGGGTGTCTACAGTGTGTCATGAGAGGTGCCTTTTCAAAAATTGTATTGAGATTCTTTTGTTTCTTAATAGGGTCATATCCAATACCCGCTTTATCAAAAACACATCTTTGATTTTCAAGAAGCATGTTGAGATTATCTCTACCTTTTATAAAATTTTCAAGTGTTTTTGTTAAATCATTAACATTGTTTTTTAAAGTAGTTTTCTCATTAGAGATAGTATCAATATCATTTTTCAAAATAATTTTTTCTTTTTTTAATTCTTATACATTAATAGATAAAGATGCAACAGATTTCTTCAATACATTATTTTTGGCACAAACTTTTCTAAATTCATGTGATAATTCATGGAATGCACTTTCAAGTTCTTCATAAAGAGTAGTTATCTCATCTTGAGTAAAGTCTTCATCTTCAAGAGCCATGAGACACAAGTTGGCTACTTCATTTTCAATTTCATCACTTGAGCTTTCATCTTCACTTGAGTTTTCATGTTCTTCTTTATTTGATGATACTTTGAATGCAATTCTACTTTTTTTTTCGTTTTCAACATTCTCATGTCCTTTCATGGTGATCTCATGAGTCATAAGGGAACCCATAAGCTCATCCAATCCAAGTGTGGAGAGATTTTTGCTTCTATAATGGCCGTAACCTTTGCTTTCCAATTCTTTGATAAACACCTAAGAATTTTTCTTACCAACTCACTATTAGTATAAGTTTTTCCAAGAAATTTCAAAGAGTTTACAATTTCAGTAAATTCAGTAAACATACTTGAAATAGATTCATCAGAGTTCATTTTAAATAATTCATAACTATGAACAAGCATATCAATACAAGATTCCTTTACTTGGTTTGTACCTTCATAAGTTCCTTTAAGTTTGTTCCAAAATTTTGTTGCCGAATCACAACTTGAAATTCTATTATACTCCTTAGAGTCTAATCCACAAACAATGGTGAATTTGGCTTTAGCGTTGGCTTGCAATAATTTGTGATCCCTCTCATCACATTCATCTTCAGTTTTAGATACACTAATATTGTCTACTAATTTGTAGGAATTTTTGGACCTTTGGTGACAATAATCCACATAACATAATCAGTGGCTTGTAGGTATATGGTCATCTTATTTTTTCAATGACTATAGTGGTTTCCGTCAAATAATGGTGGCCTATTGGTGGCTTGTCCTTCAGTAGAGCTAGTGCTAGCTAAGGTTGCCATAGATCGAAACTTTTAGATGGTTAAATCTAAAGTAAGAGTCTAGGCTTTGATACCAATTGTTACTGAAAAGACAACCTAAGAGGGGGGATGAATTAGGTTTTTACAATTAAAATTAATAATACCCTAATAAAAATTATGACTAGCACAATAGATAAATATAATTAATGAAATAAAAATAATTAAAATAAGTGTCTTAACAACTATGTCAGTTAATGTTTTTAGCATAATAAAAATGTGAAATATAACTATGGCAATTTAAAATAAAATAAAGAGATAAGAGAGAGAGACACAAACAAAATTATAGTAGTTCGGCTTCAACTCGGCCTACGTCCACTCCTCAACCTTCACTTGAGATTTTTCACTATCTTCTAGCTTGACAGGGGTGCTAGCAACCTCTTTACAAATGAAGCAATCCTCCACAGATTTTACACAGACTTCACAAGTCCAAACCCTTGCAAATCTTAGGTGATTCACAATCACTCTCAAGATTTCAAGAACACAGTGTTTGCAACACTTTTATAAGATAAAATGGTATTTTTTCTTTCAAAGAAAGCTTACAATAAATATCTCTCAAAGATAGATATATAAAATGAAGTTTTAATTTTTCTGTAAATCTCACACAGGAAAGATGGGTTTAAAGTTATGAGGCTTAATGTATAATTTCTGAGAAAGGATGTAAGTGATTATAGATCAAAGAATATTTTCAAGTTTTTTGTAACTTGTTTACATTAGAGGCTTTGGTATATATAATGAAAATTATAACCGTTTATGGCCGTTATATTCATTTGAATTTATAACCGTTTATAGCCGTTATAGTCATTTGATTTTATAGCCGTTGTACTTCCATCATTACAAATTTGAATATCTCCACTTTAACCTTTTGAACCTTTGGCCTTTTGAACCTTTATAGCTGTTTATAGCCATTATACTTCCATCATTACTAATTTGAATATCTTCTACTTGAACCTTTTGAACCTTTTGGCCTATTGCTGTGCTAGGCTGGTTGAACCTTTGTTTTAGGCTGTTTGAACTCCTGATTTAATCAAATATTAAATACATTCTAACAACATTTATGATAAAGGTTTAGATGAGAAATAATGGAACAAAATAAATTTTAATTATATTTTTCTCTTTCAAATAAATCATCAAAATAAATTTTGATTCTATTTTTCTTTTTCAAATAAATCATCAAAATAAATTTTGATTAAAATATAATTAAATAAATCATCAAAATAAATTTTGGATTCTATTTTTCTCTTTCAAATAAATTAAAACATAATTAAATAAATCATCAAAATAAATAAGTCTAACAATTTTTATAATAGTTGGGATTCTTCAACATTTCTACAGAAAAAATTTAACACAGAGAAATTTTGCCATGACATAGAAATTTTTTAATTTTCACAAAGAAATTTTTTGATTTCACAGAGAAATTTCAAAATTTCTCTAATGTAATCACAAAAAAATTTATCAAAAAATTTTAACTAATAAAAAAATATATTAAATCTCTCACACTATCCAAAATTGATGAACATGCTTTACTATTTTTTCAAAAAAGTAAAGTGAATAGGTGTTTGTTAGAAAGAAATAGGGAATTTACGTAAAAATAAACCCGGACATAAATAAATATAAAAAATAGAGGATTGTTATTAGCACATACCTTTTTACTTTAGCCCCCCATTTCTTTGAACCCCTACCCAACAAAATAAAACCCCTCCCTTTTTTTCTTTAAACCCCCACCTTAATACCAACTATACCCCTCGTCTTTTTGACTCTCAACTTTTTTTCTGTAATTTTTCTACCACCACCGGCAATCTTATCCCTCCGGTGACCTCCCCGACTGGCAACCCCCTTCCTCTTCCTTTTTTTTCCACATTCGGTCTCTCTCTCTCTCTCTCTCCTCTTATTCTTTTTCTTCTTCTTCTTCTTCTTCTTCTTCTTCTTTCTCTTCTTCCTGAGATCTGGCTTCTCATTCTTCAAGGTGGCTATTACCATGTCTCCGACGCAAGCAGAAGGCAACTGATTCAGCCTCCCCTTGATACACTTCACTGATATAATGTACAAATTCTTTGCCCCCGTGTTGTCCGCACAGTTCATCGTCGTCCTTGGCTGTTGAACTCATGCGCTTGACGGAGGACCCAGATAGGTTATCGTCGGAGTCACGGGATTTGCAGAAAATAGAGGAGAATCTAGAAAAAGAAGTACTTGGGCTTTTTGATCTGGTGGTGGTGGTGGAAGGTAGTGTTGAGGCGTTTGAGTTCGTCGTCTTTGGTGACAGAGCAGGGTCGCAAGGAGTCGCAATCGGTGGTGGTGCTAGCAGTGGAGTCACGAGAGTCGGTGGTAGTGGTATCGGAGGAGGGTGCGGACCATGGAGAAGTGGAGGGGGAAGAGTTGGCCTTTGTAGAAGAGCTCGTCGCCGAGGCAAAGGTGGTGGTAGTGGTGGTGGTGGTGGTGGTGGTGGAGGAGGAGATGGTGGTGAAAAGATTGGTGGGGTAGGGTTTGGAAAATTAGGATAAGGATTAGGGTTTGGAAAATTAGGGTTAGGGTTAGAATGTTAAGGATGAGGATAAAAATGTAACTTTATGTTTGGACAAAATTGGAATTAAAAAAAGAAAAAAAAAAAGAAAAAGAAATGGGGGTTCCAAAGAAAAAAAGGTAGGTCCTAATAGTTGCACTCAAAAAATAAAGGGGGATTTGATTAAAACCCCGTCATAATAAAACTTCAATGTATTAAAAGCAAGCATAAAAAGTTTTCTTTGATAAGTCCAACACATACCACTATTATCAAAATATTAAATTTTAAAATAATATAACTTTTAATGTAAATGTCGATTTTTAATAATTTTTAGAATCTTCTCATCAAGATCTATCAAGTAATATCCATGTTGATTATGAAATTCTTGAAAGAAAAAAAAATTATTACCATCAAAATTGATGCAAACAGTAACAGTAACAGTAACATGCTACTCTGTCTTACAGTAAAAAAAAAAAACGGCAACTTTTAGCTTTTTACCCATTTTGAGTCACATTACCTCTCACATTTTTTATCCACAAAAAGACAAAATAGACTAAAAAACCAAAAAAGTCAGCTTTTTATCAACTTCACAAAACACCACTTTGTCAATATTATCCAAGAATAAAAAAATATTTTACTTTATCCTTACTCAATTATGTGTTTTCTCTCAGGGGATTTATGAAGCAAAATAAATAAATCTATCATTTTCACCAAACAAGGGTTCAATAAAGGGGTTTTAGCCAAATTTTCCAAAAATGAAAATAAGAAGGCCTCTCTCTCGTCTGAGATCCAATTGGAGCGTGTTATTAGGTCCATAGAGACCCATCACAGGTTCTATTTCGATAATCCGAATAGTTCAATATGAAGAACTTGTCGAGTACTTTATTCTTACAAAAAATCACATTAATCAGATATCGATAGCTACTTGATCGGATCATATTTCTTTTAATAATAAATATAATTTTCAAAATAAATTGTTGGCAAAAATTTGATTCAATCAAATAGGTATCGATATCCGATCAACGTAATTTTTTTATAGAAATAAATTATTCGACGAACTCTATACATTAAATAATTTGGATTATCAAAAAAGGACCTGTGGTAAGCTCCACGGGAGTTCGAATCCCCTCCTTGATGCCTCTCCTTCATTTCCTACTGATCAGCCATTGCAGATCCAACAACTATATAAAATATATATATATTAAAACAAATTCAATTCGTTTTCCCGCCCAAAACCAAATATAGCTTATACAACTTTTTTACACTCACGCACTCTCACTCAGCCCCCTTCTTCTCTACTCCTCCACTCCTCTACTGAACCTACCCTCACCGGCGACCCACTCCCGTTGACAGAGAGAAGCTCCTAAAACACCGGTGAGAAGCTCCCGATCTCTATTTTCCTTCTTTCTCTCTTTTGTTTTTCTTCCAAACCTTAGGCTGGTGGACAGAGATCATATTTATATAAATTAATTGATGTTTCTTATTCATTAACCTTGGCTCTGGAAATATGAGAAGATTGATAAGTGATTAGGGTTTGAAGCTTTCTTTTGTTTAGCTATCTTGTTCCAAAGGTTTTATGGTTCAAAACTTCTTACAGACCTCAAGTTATTTTTTGTTGTCATTTTGCCTTCACTGATACTCCTCTAAAATGTTTTGGTATTTGTTGTTTGTTGCAGAGCTCTATTGTCCATTAATGCTTTGAACCTATTTACTATATATATACAAATTGTCTCAAAGGGTAACTATTCTATTGGAAATTAATTTTAAAAGTTGCATGCTGGGACCGTTCAATATGTATTTTGTAAAAGAAAATTCACTATATTTTTTCTTTTTTTAACATATCAAGGAAATTGATCTTTTTGCCAATTAATTTATGGGGATGGTTGAATTAAAATCGATCTTAGGTGTGGATATGAATCCTGATGGACACAAATTAGTATATCATGAACCTGATTTGTTGGTAAATTAACCCTAGGGAAGAAAAAGAAAAACAAAGGGGTATGTGTGGTTGACTCTGCTAAGTTTAAACTGAAACTTGGACTACAATATGAGATTGCTCCATTTATTAGTTTAAGTTTTCAGTTCTGTGGCACCACACCTTTGGAAAAATCTAATTCTTTGCTTTTGGTTTTTTGAAAAACAAACTTATATGAGGATAACAGATGTAGCAATAGAACACAAATTTACCACCATTTTGTATGCAAATATTGCACCAGATCTCTATTTGTAGAACAAGTAGTGAGCTAAAAGCATTTGAATTGCACCTAAAAATCTGATAACCCTGAAACTTTTCCAATTCTCCAGCTAAAATTTCACACACATTCAGTTCAAGTAATAAATTCAGCTGAAATTAATTTTCACATCATAAATGTATGGGTAATCCCCATATTAGCACAAACACGAAATATGATTTCAAATGTATTCAAATATTCCTACTCAGATAAAAGTATAAAACTATAAATACAAATTACAAATTACAAATTAACAACTATGAACACTAATCTATGAGTTCCAACACCAAGTCTATAAGTTACATCAACAACATTAACAACATTAATAAAACACACTTTCTGGCCCAATTTTAGCATGATGAACAATTTTCAGCATGATGAATTGTAACATGAATAGCAATAGTTTGACCAAACATTCCAGCTCAATTTCAGCAACTTTTTCAGCAACATTAAGGAAGAAACCTTCGTTTATGAGCTCCTATGACTGAATTTTCCAATGCCTTCTGCCTCTTTGTGCCTGTCAATAGCCTAAAATGGAGGGAAAAAAAAATTAAAAAACACAGTAGCAAACTAAATTTTCCCATGATTTATGCCACCTAAAACCCTCATCCTTCATTAAAAATCCAACTTTTTTATATTAAAAAAAAGGAAAAAAAAAAAAAGACTCCAATTGAATCAGAATTACTTGTGTTAGGTTTTTATCGTTGACAATCTTGATTGATAAAACTCCTTTCAGTTGTAATTGTATTCGATCTTTTATTTCAATAAGGCTATGAGTTTTAGATGTAAATCCAACCCAAATTGTGTCTATGCAGAGAAGTTTGTGATCTTAATCCTATCATGTTTGCCACTTTGCTAACTATGTGGATCAAGCTATTGTTTGTCCACTTGAGCAGACATTCCTACGCTCAAGTGAAGATCGCGACCTTTTAGAAGTTTCACTCGCTTACAAAAGTATTGGAAGTTGTTTTTTCCCGCTCGAGTGGCCATTCCTACGCTTGAGTGTAGATCCGCTCAAGTGGCCATTCTTGCGCACAAGCGGAAATCGCGGATCTATTTTCTATAAATATGTGTTTCAGTCCAATTTTAGGGTACAGCTTCCAGATCTTGTTCTTGGGTAGTAGGGGTTTTATCTGGAGCTTCTTTGCTTGTTTTCCTTTGATATCTGTATTAATCATGAATTGAGTGGATCATATCAAAGGATTTGTTTGTTTTATTTATTCAATACAAAAGAGAGAGTTGTTTTTTGATAGATTACGTGGAATTTGGGCCTGAAGATTTGGTGGATTTTAGAGTGGCTCATCGTCATGGATTCAACATCGGCGTCGTGGATTCAACGTTAGGAAAGACAATTCTGAGGTGAAGACCGTGGTGGAAGAGGCATATGGGGGTCGGTTCAGTTCGGGTGTGGATTTGCTAGGTAATTGAAAGTACATTTGTGTAATTCCTTTTGTCTTCTTAGTAGATTATTTTGTAGCTTTTGCCTGTGGTTTTTTTATCACAATTAGAGGCGCTTTAATTGTGGTTTTTCTATATTAAAATTGTTATGTCGATTTGTCTTGATTGTTTGATTGAGATTATTATTTACTGGTTAAAATTGATATATAATCATAAATCAATATCTAGGGAATTTCTAAATTTTTCAACTTGAATCAGACAAAAACACAATGAAGAATCTTATACCATTCACCAACAAAAACACAATGAACAATCTTATACCATTCAGCAACAAAAACACAATCAGGATTTAATTTTAGTGACGAAATAGACATTATAGGTGACAAAATATTTAACATTTAGTGACGAAATGTTTCGTCACCAAGTACCAATAATTGGTGACAAAATAAAATTTCGTCACCAGGTACTTTTTGTGACGACCAATAGGTGACGAACGTGGTGACGAAATAATTTCGTCACAGATCAGTTTGGTGACGAAAATTGTACTATTGGAGACGAAGTAATTTTGTCATTAAAGAACCATTTTGTTGTAGTGTTAGTTCGGGTGTGGATTTGCTAGGTAATTGAAAGTACATTTGTGTAATTTCTTTTGTCTTCTTAGTAGATTATTTTGTGGTTTTTGCCTATGATTTTTTTATCACAATTAGAGGTGCTTCAATTGTGATTTTTCTACATTAAAATTAGTGTGTCGATTTGACTTAATTATTTAATTAAGATTATTATTTACTAGTTAAAATTAATATATACTCATAAATCAATATATAGAGAATTTCTAAAATTTTCAACTTGAATCAGACAAAAACACAATGAAGAATCTTATACCATTCGGCAACAAAAACACAATCAGGAAAGAGAGAGAGAGAGAGAGAGAGCGCGAGCTTGCATGTGTAAGGAGAAAGAAGGAAATACGTCGTCCGATTGGGTTTCAGGACCTTCTCGCTGTCATCGGGAGTGGATCGCCGGTGAAGGTGTATCTATTCTATATAAGCTTGCTTGAATCAGAGCTTCTCGCCATCGTCCAGAGTGGGTCCCCGGTGAGGGTGGGTCAGCAGTGAGGGTGGGTTCGGTGGAGGGTTCGATAGAGAAGTAGAGGAGAAGGGGGCTGAGTGAGTGTAAAAAAGCTCTATAAGCTGTATTCTGGTTTGGGCGGGAAAACGAATTGAATTTGTTTAATTTTTTTTTTATTTTGTATATAGCGGTTGGATCTGCAACAGGAAATAAAGGAGAGGCATCAAGAAGGAGGGGATCCGGACTCGCTCCACGGGGTAGACAGCACCGTCCAGTCCAAGCCTAACCTAGGAGAGTGGAAGCAGTAAATCTCAGCTCAGGGACAGGGAGGCCTCTCTAAGGCTCTGCAATCCGAGATAGATACTATTCTCTGTAATCTCTCTCTACAAGAAGAAGTGTAGTCGGGAAGATGCAGTTTTGCATGAAAACCCAAATGGAGGAAAGACCATAACATAATGCTAGAGGCGGAATCCTCCGACAGAATCGACAATATGAAGGCAAAGATTCAGGACAAAGAGGGCATACAGCAACGCCTCATCTTCGCCGGAAAACAGACCTAGCCGACTACAACATCCAGAAGGAGTCTACCCTCCACCTGAGAAGAAGACCTACACCAAGGCCAAGAAGAAGAAGAAGTGCCCTGACGCCGAGTGCGGTGCCGGAACTTTCACTTTGACCGTCACTATTGTGGTAAAAGTGTGGCCTTACTTATGTCTATATCTATCCCCAGCAAGTTTGAATCTTTCTTGCTCTCTGGATATCTATCTGTTTAGGTGGTTTATGATTGTTAGTTGTTGTTGTTGTTGGATATCAATTATGAGGATTAACAACTCTTTTAGATACGTGCTCTGTTGATGTTATTATCTTTAGTGTCTATCATGTGATTTGGTGGAATTGTTGTTAATGTATTGGTTGGTTTGTTGAGCTTTTCGTTTTTTTTTTTCTGAATTTCTCTTGTAAATCTTTTTATTGTGAATATATATATATATATATATATCAATTTTCACATGTCATTTTGCTGTCATTATTGGCATTGATAAGCTTGGCACTATTAATGTCGGTTGACTGCTGGGATTTTGTTGAGAGATTGGAATAGAATTAAATTTTAATAAAGAATAGAGAAACTGATTTTACAATCATTTGTGGTGTTGCAAATATTTGTCAGAATATGTTAGCTGGATATGTTCAAAAATTTATGCATGGATCCATTATGTTCCTGTGATTTGGAGCCAAGTAATAGTTGCTTCCAGAGTTTAAACATATTGAGCTTTTCGAATTTCTAAAAAATTAAGAATGAACCACTCTGCTTCCCGTTTGATGCTGTGATCAGATAAGAACACCCTTTCCAACCCAATTAAAAGTATAATTTCTATAAAACTATACCCAATGAAAAAAAACATCAAGATCAAGTCTCCGAACCTCCACTTTATATGCTATTCACTTCAGTTTTAAGTTGCAACTTTCCCTTTAATTCTAAAACTTACCTTTACAAACTGAGAAGGCATCTGATTGTACCTCCCATATCACTTTTATCTGAACAAGGTACTTACTAATAAATAATATTTGTTTCATCAGTTTACAAATTAATTTTGTCAATTTAGTTTATGTAGCACTTTTACAAATGTTGGAATTCCAGTTTTAGGTTCCCAAATTCTGCTATTTTTTCTCTGATATTTAAATAATTTCATTGCATAGTAATAACCCAACCCTTCCAAGTTTTTCATCTACATGCATATACATATTTTGTCAACTTAATTTTAGGCATTTTTTGGGCTCTGAAATGCCTACTCTAGCCTAGTCTAAGGGAAGGGGATGCTGGCGATTGAACCCAGTGACATGAGGTGGAGAGCCTTAATCACTGGGCCGCCACTTTGTTGCTGAAATCTTTGCTGGATGATGTTCTTGGAATCATGGAAAATGTATAATATGAGAGTCTGAAGAGAGAAATTTATATGTTTTGTCTAGCATGATTGCCTTATTGCCTTTTTTTGTTGGAAAGCAATAGAACTAAGAAACTTATTCTGGACGGCAAACAGTTAATGCAACATTGAGTTTCAGTTGATCTTGTTGCATTAGCAGGCATATGTTTTAATCTATGAATAGACGAGTTTCCTGTGATACTTTGATGGAACTCACCTGGTTTACCTCTACTAATTTGCTTTAAGAAATCCTTGCAGAATTGACATTTCACAACCTGTTGTATGGCCATAAATGTGTATATATATTGTTTCTATTTACTCTTTATATGGACATTGTTGGATTGCTTTTAAGGGGCTTCCTTTTAATTTTTACATGCACATTTGACCTGATGAAACCTTGGTTTTTGAGTTAATTGTCTGAAAGTAGTAGAGATTGTTTTACATATCCAGCTTAATGAGGTTAAGATATCAAAGAAAGCAAATACCTAAAATTTGGTATAGAAATTGTTGGAACACCATGGCTTAACAGGCTTATTGTTCAGAAGGTTTCTATCAATTGCTTGGGACTAATTCCTACAACAACAACAATAACAACAGAAATGGTGATTGTTTTCAAGCAATTTCTACTTTTTATGCTTTCATTGTCTTAATCTTTTGATTACTCTTTTTTGTCAGTGGCAGATTGCCCTGCATTAAACAGAGAAGTATTAGCATAGGGCCACAGTTAAATTTTCCTGTAAATTGAAGGAGATTGGGAAAGAGGGATCTGTAGCATAGGGGTTAGGGTGGTTGGAACTTGAAAGCCCATACCAGCTGGTGATACATATGTAAAAGAGAAGAAAAAAAAAAGGAGAAAAAAAGTTGGACTTTGAGATTAGTGTGTAAAACCAGTGGAAGCAATCTCACTCCTCTTCTCCCATAATGACCAATAGGATATGTATACTATTGTTTAGAAATGGGTGTGCGTCTACTATTGTTGTTCCCTCCTTTACATATACAAGCAGATCATTTGATAACAACATAATATATATAATGCCTTGGAGGCTTAATAATAATTATATATATAAAAAAAAAAAACACACTAAAATGACTTCACAAATGATTGGGGGAACATTCTAGGAAAAATGGAGTTCTTGGCTCTTATAAGCAACGCATATAGTCCATAGCAGGGGATGTGAACCACGGCCAAGCAAAAGTACCTGTTGTAGGATATGAACACCCAACCCATCATTAGTTACACAGCAAAACGTAATAATCAATGTAAAACAGTAAGGTTATAAAATGTGAACAACAGTTACCACAAAGGTGCCCATGGTACTCCAAGCTCAAGGAAAGGATATGGCCACCTGGGAGAGAAACTCCGTAGGTAAATTAATAGTTCTTAAAGCAAAATCACAGATAAAAGAAATAAATTATTGTCCAGCATTAATGGCATAGAAGGGAAACTGGAAGTTTACAGTGATGAATAACCACAGGCATGAACAACCCACTCGAAAATAACATAGCAGCAGCTCCAGAGCACAAAATATGCTAGTCGAAACGAAGGAAATGGCTGCCAAACAAAGACAAATTTGCATCAAACCAAGTGTAAGCTAGAAAAAAGGAACAAAACACCAGAGATCTAGGCTAACTGAAGATCATCATCCTTTTTTCTTCTTTTTTTTCAAGTTGTTAATGGCATGATATACTTACAAGGCTATTAACAGCGGTATCAAGAAGAAGAAAAATGGCATTTAGTGTATGCATGCACCCCATCAACTGCAAGAATGGATGAAGCACAAAATCAGAATAGGTATATTAACATAGGATATATTCAAGAAAGCCAAAATCATTCAAAAAACTACTTAGGTACTCTAGAAAAATCTTAGCTAAAATACAGCACAGACGATTGTATTGAATCAATTATAAGTATATTTTCAAGTTACCGAATAGAGATAATAATAAAATATACCTCGATTGTCACAAAGCGTGTGACATTCTAGTGTAAAATCTTAAATTGAGAGAAAAATATAAAATAAAATAAAAAAATCAAATAGCAGCAATGACGTGATGTTTGCTTCCTAAGAAAATAAATGAAAACAAAGAGCAAGAATCTTACCAGGTTCAGTTCAAGATGTGCATCTGTCAGAAACGGGACAATAATACACCAAAAAACAAGGTCCGTTAGAATGACAGCACCTGCACAAGTCTGTTCATGAAAAGAGGGTCAGATTCACCAACAGAACAATGAGGCCTTTTTTTACCTCAATGCAAAATACACATACGAATAATTAATATCATTTGTGTCCAACCTCTCACCAAAATTGAAAAATTGTCATGCACACAGCAATTTTTTTTTATTCTATTTCTGGTTTATTTAAATTAATCTGCTAATGCATTGATGTCTTTGCCTCTGCTCAGACCGAACATATCATCTGCCATTCCACCCTCTAAAAATATGCCCCCCTTATGCTGTGTTTGGTTGGAGGATTTGAGGAGAGATTTGGAAAGGGAAAGGAAAAATTAGGTGAAATGTGAATAAAATATACCTACATTTCACCTAGTTTCACACACCTTTTCCCTTTCCCTTTCCAAATCCCTCAACCAAACACAGCATTAGTTACATGAATGCAGGGCGGAGGCAGAAGCACATCAATGTTAAGACCAAAATAATGCTAATGTGAATTCCAATACAAATTATGTAATTAGAGAATTTCACACAACACATGAAATGAGATCGTAGTGTAGTGGATGACTGACCTGATACGCAATCTGCATAAGGTATCCCCAGAAACCTGCTCTTTGTTCGATGGCTTCTTGGTCATAGGGGCTTTGCAACTTGATGGAGCCACTCATTTCTTTTGCCCTAAAAGTCATAGCGTTTGTACATATACTCTGACTCTCTTCCACATCCCTTCTTAGAAATTCTTCCCTCTGCACACTAGCGAAAGGAGGTTTCTTCCAGTAGTAGACCATGCATCCATTTGCAGATACAATTGTCCCTATCTACACAACACATTATATAAATGATGCATGTTAGGTAAAGATCAGATTGAGTTTTGGATCAAATTAAAAACCCTTCCAACAACAAAAAACTACCCATCAATTATGCCTTGTGTGTGGATGTGATATATACGCATCTATGTACAGAATTCAATTTCCATGTATATATATAGCAAAACAAATGCCATTCGTTCTTAAACAAACTTCTTGACTTACGGCGAAATAGACAATAACCAAAGCAAAAGTCCACCTGCAAAACAATATAATATCACAAGAAATTAGGATCATATAATTGTGGCTAGGGATGTAGGAAAAATAAAAAAAAAAACCGATTAGACCGATTAAATCAGAGTAAACCGGTTATATTTGGTCTGGTTTTTAACAAGAATTGATCTGTGCAGTTTTTAAATTTGAATTTTTTCGATTTTCGGTTCGGTATCAGTTTAAGCACCTTGTACACTGATCTAAACCGAAACCGACCGCTTCAACATATATTGTATTTATAATATATATAATCTAATAATCTAATGATATTAATAAGTATAATAATCTTAATTAACCTTATCACCTTTATAACCTAAGTTTGTAAACTTTTTTTATATGTAATCTTAACTCTAACTCATTATTTTTGAAACCTTAGTATTTTTAAACTTTTTTTTATTTTTTTTATTTTTGTTAATTTAGGAATTAAAAAGTATGTATTAAATAGATGGATTGGATAGGTTTGAAATAGTAGACAAATAACGAATTTAATATTTTTATACAGATTAATGATTATATTTAAAAGTGACTCAAGTTTGAAAAATTCTAAACCAATTAAACCGCACCAAACCGCGCCGTTTCAATTGGTTCGGTTCGGTTCGGTTCGGTGCGGTTTGATGTGAGAAGCGGTTTATATCGGTATTCAAAATAATAAAATCGACATTATCGGTTCGGTGTAATTTTTTACCTAAATACCGACCGTACCAAACCGATTACATCCATACTTGTGCCTTTTCACATATTGATTGTACTTCTAATATTTTTGGTATCAAAGTTTGCCACGAAAGGGACTGCTAGTCTTTCGTATTTAAATTAAACAAGAAACTCTCAAACATCAGACCCTATTTTACTGTTTATAATTAGCGTAATTTTTTAATTCCAACTACTTTTTTCTTTTTTGTGACATAAGTAGCGTAATTTTTCTCTGTTGCTTGTGAAAGTAGGCAGGTTTGTGCCAAAGTACGTAAATTTTTTATTTGATTTTTTTCCCCCTCTTTTGTGTGCGTGTGTGTGCGCGCTTTTGATCGCTTTTGTGGGATACAGAAAAAATCCAAACAGTAACAGGAATAAAGAAGGAAGAACATACTCGGTGTAGTAAGCAAAGACGGAGGGGTCATAGATTATGACATCCCAAACTAAGAGCGCAGCCATGATGAGAAACGAGGCAAAACGTAGGGCCAAGAGCCATATTGGGTGCAGCCCTCTCCAACAACTGGTCCAGAGTTGAGTAGAGCTTACATGCCCTCTTGGAGTACTACTTACCCCTGCTGCTACTGCTGCCGCTGCATAGCCACCAGGAATGTCGTCTGGCGGTGGAGTTACCACCAGACTCTCATACATGGTTCTGTCTTCTTTGCATTTTCCGGCACCTTCTCTCATCCAAATCACATAGATGGAACCAAGAAATGCTCCACCAACGATGCCAAAACACACGAAATCATACCAGTACACTACCAATCCCATGATTTAGCAATTCGTACGTAGTCTTATCTTAGTCTGCAAATTCAAGTGATGAAGTCAAGCAATCTCGATTCATCAAAGAGGTCAGGAGACTCTGGTGAATCATTAAGCTCTCGTAGAACTTTCAAGTAGCTGGAGTATTTTACTAGAATTATTAGCTTGTGGTTTGATATGGGGACTGGTAGTTTTGACTGTTTGGTTTGGTACTACATTCTCGTCCAAGAGAAAATTGGGTTGTTGGACCATATCTTTGTCAAAAAGTGCACTAAACATGTAACTAACCTTTACCCCTTATTTTATTTTGTTTGTTTGTTTGGGTATCTATGATTGTGTGGGGATATATTTTCTGAGTACCAACACGTGGCCAAGGTGACGCCGACATGTCAGCCGAGGTGCCACGTGTCCTGGTTGTTATGCCGAGGTCATCTTGGATAGGCCGAGGTTACCTCCGAAGATATCGAAATCCGAGATAAACGGATAAGGGGCAAGAGTCCTAGAATGAGAGAAGATTTCAGTTTGTATTAATATAAGACTCTTAGAGAGTTTATCCTAATCTTACTGGGAGTCCAGATTAGCAGTAATCCTGAGTCCATAGAAGTTAGGCTTCTATTGGGACTAGGTTTATGTTGGCTATAAAAGAGAGGCACCCCCATGGGTCTAAGGTATGCTTTTGATACTCAAGCTTGTGAGTTTAGCACTTGATTTATCTTTGAGAGATATACTGACTTGATCGTCGGAGTGCCCCCGGGTGGACGAACCACCGCCGGAATCTTCTCTTTCTGTTGCAGGTCAGCCATGTGCCATCTATTCTGCTGGTGCTCTCCAGCTAATTACTAAGCGGGCAGTGTGGTCAGAAAATCACCCACACAATTTGGCGCCGTTTGTAGGAAAGAAAGAAGAATAGATGGCCAATGAAAGAAAGAAGAATAAATGGCCAACGACGGACAGAAGGATCAGATTGGAGACAACGCTCCTGTTGGGAATGAGAGACCTATCAACCTCGACGTTGAAGGGGACGACCGCAACACAGAAACTCGTAACCAGAGTCATGGAGTGAAAGACGCCGGCCAGAAAGGTGACACACCAAAGACAACAGATCGAAGCGGATACTACAATGAAGATGACCTCCAGGTATGGAAGGATAGATACCTGCGGAGGAACGAAGACCCTTCCAGAAGGGATGCAAAGACAGGGGGCATGAGCGCTCCCAAGGAGATAACATTCAAGTATAGAAGAACTCATCCTAAGTGAGCAGATCCCGGATTCCAGATCCCGGATCCCGGATCTTAGAAAACATGATCTCGGCCTAGATGAGTAGGTTCGAGAAAAGAAGAGCTCAACCTGAGTGAGCAGATCCAAGATTCTAGCAGACAAGAGCTCGACACTTAAGTCCAAGAAGAGAAGAGCTCAATGAACAGATCTCAGATCCCAGAAGATAAAAAAAGAAAACACACAAGGTTGGATTGCAGTTAGCTAGGTTGAAGACCTTTTATAAGATTCGCAAAGGAGTATGTGGAAGCCATGCAGAGGGCAGAGAGAAGAAGAATATGTTTACCACTTGTTGAAATTTGCAGCAATTTACAAATTGGTTAAACCGATATGATGTTTACCACTTGTTAAAATTTGTAACAATTTACAAGTTTACCACTTGTTGAAATTTGTAGCAATTTACAAGTTGGTTAAATCGATATGATGTTTACCACTTGTTGAAATTTGTAGCAATTTACAATTTGGTTAAACCGATATGATGTTTACCACTTGTTGAAGTTTGTAGCAAATTACAAGTTGGTTAAACTGATATGATATTTACCACTTGTTGAAATTTGTAGCAATTTACAAGTTGGTTAAACCGAGATGATATTTAACACTTGTTGAAATTCTGTGTGAATTTACAAGTTGAAGTTAAACCGAGATGATATTTAACACTTGTTGAAATTCTGTGTGAATTTACAAGTTGAAGTTAAACCGATGTGATATTTAACACTTGTTCACTACTAGAAAAAACACTTTCCGTGACGAACATGTTTGGTCGCGAAAAGTACCATATTTGGTCGCTAAAACCTTTTCGCGACCAAAATACGTTGGTCGCGAGTTGGTCGCTAAAGCCTCGTGACAGATAGTTTTCTACGACCAAAAAAGCCTTTGGTCGTTAAAAGTGACCATTCGCGACCAACTTTTTTGGTCGCGGAAAGTCCAATTCATATTAGCCAAAAGGGAACTTTTAGCAACAAAAAAATGTAACCATTGGCGACTAACTTTTTTGGTCGCGAAAAGTCCAATTCATATTAGCCAATAGGGAACTTTTAGCGACCAAAGATAAATTGGTCGCCAAAAGTCAGCGCCTTGACCCAAAAAAATTAATTCTTTTGCACTGCCTAAGACTTGAACTCCTGACCAAGGAGTCACCATGCACCCAATTCACTCTGCCAATAACATGCTTCTTGTTCATATTTGGTAGAGAAAATATATAACCCATAAAAATTAGGTTATATATTATTTTATAAAACTTTTAATTCCTAAACAGAAAAATAGCATGTAATTACAGTAGTATCCATTTTTTTTAAAAATTATCCCGCCATAACTTTCTGCGACCAACTTTTTTTTTTGGTCGCCAAAGGGTAATCTTCCGCGACCAAAAAAGCCTTTGGTCGCCAATAGTATACTTTCCGTGACCAACTTTTTTCTTTGGTCGCCAAAGGGTAATCTTCCCCGACCAAAAAAGCCCTTGGTCGCCAATAGGTATACTTTCCGCGACCAACTTTTTTTTTGGTCGCCAAAGGGTATACTTTCCGCGATCAACATTTTTTTGGTCACCAAAATGTATACTTTCCGCGACCAAAAAAGCCTTTGGTCCCCAAAGGGTATACTTTCCGCGACCAACATTTTTTTGGTCGCCAAAAGGTGATCTTCCGCAACCAAAAAAGCCTTTGGTCGCCAATAGGTATATTTTCCGCGACTAACTTCTTTTTTGGTCGCCAAAAGGTGATTTTACGTGACCAAAAAATTGTGGTCGCCAAAAGTTAGATTTTAGTCGCAGAAAGTGGACTATTTGCGACAAAAAAAAATAGGTGGTCACCAAAAGTGTTTTTTCTGTAGTGGTTGAAATTCTATGTGAATTTACAAGTTGAAGTTAAACCGAGGTCGTATCGGAAGAAGATTGGTTTAAACACTTGTTGAAATTCTATGTGAATTTATAAGTTATACTTAAACCGAAGTCGTATCGAAAGGAAGACGGTTTAACACTTGTTGAAATTTTGAGAAAAATTTACAAGCTGAAGTTAAGCCGAGGTTATAATAAAAGATGATGGTTAAAACACTTGTTGAAATTTTTGAGAAAAATTTACAAATTAAAGTCAAGCTCAAGCAATATCTACGTACTTGCCGAGACTACCAGGTTGTCAAAACTTGAAATATGGAAAACTGAAGTCTTGATAGAAGACATTGAGAAAGTGACAAGTCCTAAGCAACACTTGTAAAAATATTTGTTACAATATTTTCAAGTGTTAGGACAAGGCCGAGATGAACAAGATTAGAAATTGTGACAGAGGTATTTTACCCGAAGAGATTACACAGTCAAGGTGTACTTTGAAGATATGCAAATTATTCTAAATGTAGAATCATACAAGAGCAGAAAAAAGAAGAAATTCATTCAACGAAGAAATTAGAGAAATGCATTTAAAGAAGAAAAAAGGCATTTCGGCTTGAATAGTGAAAAATAAATTATTCAGACTACAAAAATGGCACGTCGGCCGGATTAAAAGCATACAAAGAAGGACAAAGTACAAGGTACAAGGTACAAGGAGTAAAAGAAGGAAACAAAACTACTCGGCATCAATGGCAGGATACAGAAGACAGTTGGGAAGACTTCTCAGCAGCTTTCTCAGCCTCGAGCTCAGCATCGATCTCCCGAAAAGTTTGATCAAAGCTCTTTTCGGCGATTGGCACCTCGGAGTTTGAAGGCAAGGATTGAAAGCAAGAATCTGGAAAAAGGGCACAGAAAACAGAAACAAGAATGTAATTCGTAATCAAGAATGGTGATGAAGCTATCAGGAAATCAAGACAAAAAGATTGCACAGGTGTGTCAAGCCAAGAACAGTGGTAGAAATCAACAGATGTGTGAACAATGTGTATTCAAGAAGATGATTTGGAAACAACGGGTAAAACAGCAATGGTGATTAACAATGAAGCAGAGCTTCTTGGAAAGCAACAAGAAATAAAACCAGAAGGAACAGTGGCTTACCAGAAAGAGGGAAGCCGGAATGAGAATTGTCGAAGTCTGACGATGGATGTAAAAATGACAGAATGACGTAAGCTTCACCAGAGGAGAGGAGCGAAAACAGTTGCAGAGCTTGAAAGCTTGGAACAATGACGGATTTAAGCAAAAGAGCTAGAAAGAGAAAAAGCCAGAGGATTGAATGCAAAAAGAGAAAAATCAGAGTCAAGAAGACGACAAAGTTCAAGAATAAAGCCAAGTGCATAGGCACTAAGTAAGTATGTGAAGAACAAGAAAGTAATGACCCAGACATGATGCTAGCAACAGAAAGCGGATATGGCAAGAACAGTGTCAGGCGTTCAAACAATTCAAAACTTGAAAACAGACGAAAATAGAAGACAACAGAGGGCAAGTAAACGGATTCAGAAGAGTTATGAAAGATTGAGCTTAATAAAAGAGTTTATGAACCTACCAAGAAAAATGAACGCCGATATGAAGATCGCCGGAGTCAAATAGATGACTGGAAGCCGGGAACCCACCAAAGAATGTGAGTGGAGCAGTTGCAAAGCTCTTGGAGTTTACGAATTAATGGAACAAGAACCTCGGCTATGAGGTGTGATCTCGAGCAGCTTGGAAAGCATGAAGCTTGATACTTGACAGAAGTGAACAGTAAAGTCCAGGGAACTTTGAGGTCAGTGAGTTTGATCTCGGACAGAGGGGCACAGATGAACGAACAATGTAGCTTCCATCACCTCAGAATACCGAGGTAATAGAACTTAGGGGGCAATTATGGGGATATATTTTTTGAGTACCAACACGTGGCCAAGGTGACGCTGACATGTCAGCCGAGGTGCCACGTGTCCTGGTTGTTATGCCGAGGTCCTCTCGGATAGGCCGAGGTTACCTCCGAAGATATCGGAATCCGAGATAAGC